CGCGTTTCTGGACACTGCACTCAAAGCGCTTTACAGGTAATGGGGACTCCCCTCCACCACCACCAATGTGCAGCATCCACCTGGATGATACAACAGCAGCCATAGTGCGCCAGAACGCTCACCACACATCAGCTATCAGTGGGGAGGAGAGCAGTGTAATGAAGCGAATTCATAGAGAGGGATTATTAGGAGGTCATGATTGGTAAGGACCAATGAGAAATTTGGCTAGGACGCCGGGGTTACACCCCTACTCTTTTCGAGAAACGCCCTGGGATTTTTAATGACCACAGAGAGTCAGGACATCGGTTTTACATCTCATCCGAAGGATGGCGCCTGTTTACAGTATAGTGAGCACTCCCTGCTGGCCTCACTAACACCTCTTCCAGCAGCAACCTTAGTTTTTCCCAGGAGGTAACCCATCCAGGTACTGACCAGGCTCACACCTGCTGAGCTTCAGTGGGTTGCCAGTTGTGAGTTGCAGAGTGATGTGGCTGCTGGTATAATGAAACTTTAGCCGGGGTATGGTTTCAGTATTTTTGGATTTATCACATGTGCCAGTAATGTATAAAAGCAATTTAGTACTGGACAGGCAAGGTGGAAGAGTTGGAAATCTAACACTGTACCTCAAACACCTGACACTTCCACAACAAAAAGTGTATGAAGGACCTTCCTTGTGTTTCCATTGAGCCCGATCTCCATTTTCTGTTTTAGCGTGCGGTGTCAGGAGCGGAGAGAACACGCAATCTCACAGCGAAGGCAGGGCGTGCCAGTTACATCGCAGCACAGCATGTGACCCAGCCTGACCCTGGTGCTGTTGCTGTAGCAACCATACTGAAGGCCATTCTCACTGCTCTGCAGGATGAGGTGTAGGGATAGAAGGAAGTGTTTTATAGTCACCAGCATCATGCACTCTCAGTAAGAGCAGCGACCAGTCAATCTGTGCACATCTCCACTTAAACATCTTAACACTATCAGGTTACATCAGAGCACTAGAACCTTAACACACAAATAATCAAGTTTGAGATAAAATTATAAAAAGACATCTTGCAGGTAGATTAACAAAAAATGTTAATCCCACTACCACAGCAGGCAGCTCATCCATACCTTGTTACAGAGGGAGTGAATATCACTTTACCAGACATACCCCTTTAACCCACTTTCTCTCTGAGCTCCCTGTCATGAAGAGCAGCTGCTTGGTGCAGCAGTCAGGGATTAGGATGGTGCAAGGATGGTCCATTGTCTGTGTCAGTGTGCACATGTGATCAGAGAGATGTACAGTATGTGAATTCCAGAATGAATATTACAGCAAACATTTCCCAACAGTCTAGAATGAGAGCTATGTATTTTCATGCTCCTAATACCAGTGTGAGTATCCTTCATAAAGAGTATTAATCTACTACACATTCATCTACATGTGTGTTTTGTGGTTGTGATTGTGAGTCTGTTTTTATGTTGTGCATGAGGTGAAGTACATTGTCTTTAGGAAAGATATAATGCTAAACAAAACAACAACAACCCATTAAGTACACATTCAATACTTAAAATATACTGTAATTATGGTCTTACAATATAAAATGGTCTTTAAACCAGTGATCTGCTGCTTGAGGTACATGTGGAGAATTACAGATGTACTGTACCGACAGTCAGACTCAATCTGTGGTAATGACTACAGAATTAATTAAAAAAAGTTACTGGAGAGCAAGTTATGGACTTCAAGCCAAAGTATTAAAATTTAATAATTGAATTAATAAATTAATAGGAGGAGTAGACTAATATAAAAGGATAACATCCTTAATATTTTGAAGTTGAGTTACCTTTGTTGGCTAAGTAAATAACAACACCACCAGTATTAGAGAAACACTGATGCAGTTAATCAGTGGAGGAGCTATTGTAGCTTGATTTGTTTTTGATCAATTTAAGATAGAGATAACTTTATTAGCCATATACAATTTCTTGCATTAGGAGTTTGTCATACCCCAGCTTGGTCTCCATGAGACACAGAGACAGGGAGAGAAGCTTGGGGTCAGAGCACAGGGTCAGCCATCGTACAGCACCCCTGGAGCAGCTGGGGTTAAGGGCCTTGCTCAGGAGCCCAACGGAGTAGGATTCCTTTGCCGGTCATGGGATTTTGAACCAGCAACCTTCCAGCCACCGGCGCAGATCCTTAGCCACGGAGCCACTGCTCTGCCCCTTGGTTTGGATATGCAAAATTTCATAGGAACATCCATTAAAAAATGTGATTGAAAGCATGAATGAGAACTGCATATGATATACTGTAAATGATTAAATTCAGTCAACAAGCAGCAGTATATCCAACAAGTCCTAGATCTGGTTGAGGGCCAACACCATACCAATTGGACTCGAGCAGAGAGGGGAAGAGGGCCGTCACTATATCAGCAAATGATGGCAAGGGCTTCCAACAAGGAGCCAGGGGCAGAGACCATGTACTCATACACTCAAAACAGAGGGAAAATCAGCAGCTGGAGGGCTCCTAAGCTGGGGCCGCAGGTACCAGTTAAACAGTGGGTTTAACACCTGACCAGCAAGGGAAAGACAACATAGTGAGAGAGCTAGCAGAAAAGAGATGGAAGGGAGAGAGAAAGGGGAAATGAGACAGGAAGCAGTTGTACATTTTCTGGATTTCCTGGGAGAGTGGATAATATCATTAGAACTGGAAGAGAAAAGCAGACAGTTTAGCAGGACCAGAGAGACAGTTGTTGAGGTTGAAGTAGAAAAGTGGTGAGAAAGTGACTCTTGTCCAGGCTTTGGGGACACAAAAGTTCAGACTTCTGGGTACAGCTATGCCAGAAAGGCTGGCATGTGTGAAACGATGATAAGATAGGAGTGAAGCCAGCATCAGGGTAGAGGCACATGAGTGACCAACCACTGAGTCCAAGGGATGTCTATTCTGATTTGATCAAAATGCTGATTGTGAGAAAAGGTGTGTGCAAATGGGACAATATTTATGCACAAGAGTGGAAATGTGAGATTATAATTTGACCTCCTCCCAAACTTCAGTTTAACAATTATGTTTATTATGTAACAATTATGTAACAATTATTTATTATGACAATTATGTCCAAAGAGTGAGTAAAGCAAAAAGGAAATAAAATCAAATAGGAGGATTAGCAAACTACAGTAGAAGCAGAAGTTCTAAACATTAAGATAAAATTCAAAACGTGGCAAACATCTTGTAGATGACATTTCACATAGACAGGTATAGTAGGTTGATGCATACTGTACAAACTTAAGAAGGGTTACAAACGAGAGGTAGCCATTTGGCCCATCTAGCCCATTTGACAGTTGGTAGTTTAATAATGCAGGGATCTCATACAGCTGTTTTTCTTTAAGCCAGGGTATTGGCTTCAACAATATTGCTGGGTAGCTTATTCCGTACTCCAACACTCAATTGCATAAAGAACTGTCTCCTGTTCTCGGTTTTAAATGATCTTCCAAGCAGTTTCTACTCTGGCCCCCTGGCCTTTATATGAAATTATTATTTTGATCTACAAATTCTACTAAAAATTCTACAAGACGGATTGCATTCAAAGATTATATGATTTTAAAATTCTTTAATATCACATGTATTTCACAGAACTTTTAATTTTTAGCCCTTTATTAACATTGAAATAAAGAATATGTTGAAATTAATTAGAATGAAAGTGCATAACCTACTTTAATGACTTAATTCAATAAGATAAGATAAACAGAGCATTCAGTTAAATTCAAACCCGTAAGGTATTCAGCTTGTAAACTGTTTATTAACCTTTTTAATTTAGTTTGATTACCACAGGACAGAGAGATTAGTGATTTATCATGTATTCAGTCATAATCCATTTTTCTGCAAAAAATACAACAGCACAATTTGGTCTTTTAAATATATCCTTAAAACCTCACTTGTCTGTGTTTTAGTAAATTTATATTTCTTATTGAACTTTGTGTTTTGGTTTTAAAGTTTTTGAGACTGAACATACTGTATTAAGGGAACTATAAAAAATAAAGAATTAGGAAGTGATTAAAAACTATATTGCTCCTTCATTTATGTAGACTAACTAGAACAGGTGAAGTCTGCTACATGATAGCTGTTGAAAAGATTAGAGATAAAGCTTGGTGGAATAAACATCAGATTGTCAAGGTAAAAATTGTAAAACAACCTTTCATGTTTTCTGGTTTAACTGTAGTTAAGCTGCAATATCTGGTCTCCTATTTTCTTTGAGCAAAGTCCAGCTTGAATCTTCTGGTGTGTGGTCTACACGGAAGTCCTCGGGTCTTGTCAAGAAGTATTTTTCCCTGAAACACAAACAGGTATGTTTCAGAGTTTTAGGTTTAGTGAGCATGTATTTAAAAACATTGCATGTGTGTAAATGCAATTTATAGTAAAAGTCAGTCACAGACCAAGCCATTCTGCTTTTTTGATGTTTTTTTTCAGATCACTGCTGCATTCTTTAATTATAAACATTTTGATTCCCTTTTTGAACCAGACAGCTGATCTGTCTTTTAGCCTTGATTATTCTGTTTTTTTCACAATATCACAATAAATCGGCATGATAGTATGAATTGCCCACATACCATTTCAAAATGGTATATTTTAATGTTCTTTTTATTTACATACATAGTATGTAATAATTATTGTTTATTTTTTAAACTAAAACTCAATTTATATATTATAAAAACAAAAAAAATCAAAGTTCAAATTTCTTTGTGGTTTTCCTCCATTATTAACTTCTAAAAAGATTTTGTCTGCAACTGTAGATAGCCCTCGGTTTAGATTTTTTTCTTATGGGCCTGAAATCTTAATTTAATCTAAGTGTAATTGCAATGATCTTCTGTATTAAAAATGCACTAATTAATTGTTTAGCACATCCAAATCCAGAACTGATTAAGATGCCTAGACACTTGGTATTTCTTGATTAAAAGCTTAAAACTCACTCACGTGCCATTCCATGTAACATCAATGAGGTGCCATTTATTTTCAATATAAACTGCATTCCAAGCATGACTTTTTCCTGAAATGTACTCACATTTCACACCTGCAATCCTGGACACATACAAAATTATTTTTCATAGTTAATATAGTTTGACCTCTTTTATAATTTTAAATCCCTTATACATTCTCAATACATCAAGAAGCTGTGCAAGTTTCTATTACATCCTTCAACTCTCAAAAGCACACCCACTCAACTCTTTATGTTTTATTGTCATGTTCTGGCTAAGCTTTAACCAATAGGTAGGATGTGGATTTCTCACAGTATGTCCCTATGAGTACTTGCCTGAATACCAGCAATGTCCGGTTTGCTGATAAACCTAGTAAGGGCCAATGTAGGCTCCAGTCTGCCCAGAATGCTTACTTATGATGGTTATACAGTATTTCAGTGTGTCCTACAGAAGCACGAACCCGATCTCAGCTCTAAACTGTTTTCTTTTGAAGGTGCTCCTACCTGCACATTTCCTGGAACAGTTTGGCATGTCCACCACACTTAGCTTTTCTTTTCCTCAGCACTTCCTGCGGATCCGTGGTATAGCAGTCTTCATTTTCATAAACTAAAGTGGAGTAAAAAAGCACCCAAGATATTTGCTATGAAATAAGTCCCAGAAAATCATTTCTCTTTGTGAGGTTAATGTCCAGCCTCACATACAATATTTGTTTTATCTTTCCTAAACAGCAGGTGTTGCCAAAGCACCTGGTGGTTTTGTATAGATCACCCAGATAGATGCTGGAGGGTGTGTAATATACAGTATGTTCAGTTTTTCACTAATCTTTGTGCAACAGACCACTCTATGTGTGGAATTAGTGTAATGGTCTGGGCAAGACTGTATAGTTGCTACAGATCTCCAGATGTGGTTATTAACTGCAACATAACTTCTTGGCACAACAGTGGTCAAGTCATGGTACTGTACTGTACTTCAATGGCTGCTCTTCCTGCAGGCTCATTTTGACATGACAACCTTCCAGCAGGGCAACACATACTCATATTGCTCGCGTAACATTGTTTTTCTTTTAAGATGCAAATGCAATAGTAATGCTGTGAATACCCTCCTCACCAGACTGGAGCCCCACTGAATATTTGCTGAATGTGCTTAGTCAAAGTATGTAAACTTGGTCTTGGAGACCAGCGAGCTAACTTCTTCAAACTCCATGAAAGGAATGGGATGCATCAGGTTTGAAGCCATGAATCACAGATGTACACCTTGTATTGCTTCCAACAGCACCACACACATGCTACTATCCTGTAACTTTCCTGGGTTGATCAACAATATTGATGACAGATGTTAATGTAATTCATTTACTTGTGTCTTATCTGTTCAATAAAAGGTCAGTGTAACTGCTTCAAAGATGTTGTCGTTTTCCTGATTAAACCTTTGTTAATTGTTTGTAATTGTGTGATAGGTTTCTTTTGGTGCACAATATCCATAAACACACTACACACATAGGAACAAACATACAGTAAGCTAATTGCACAGTGCAAAGTATAAAGCTTATTGGGTATGGAGCCTCGGATATATGTACTGTACATACAAACACACTCAATTATGGAATTTACAGTATGAATTCTAGTGAGGGGTCTATCAAACAGCTGCACACTGTCCAACCTGTACATCAGCCAGAAATAAACTTAACCATTTTAAACTTCTACAGGAATAGTATCTGATAAAAATTAATTTGTTAGGGATTAACACTGCAGTGCATCATGACTATGTGGGAAGGTGCTACAGATTTATGAATATTCCACATTCAGAACTGCTTATTAATCCCTACTTTTAATTGTTGAATTGTCACCACACAAAATATAACACTAAGTAATGTTTTTTTATGCTAGCTATCAATTTACATGACCTTTTTTCTCCAGAATTAAATTGAGACTGGAAATTAGTGTTCATTGTGTCATATGTATTGATTAAAAAATAAATTTTCTTTCAAAAATATTTTTTATATATAATATTGGACATACAGTACAATGTATTGCAAAAGTATTTGCCCCATTCCTTTAAACTACAAAATTATGTATTAAAATTACCAATAATGTTTACTGTACATTTGTTAAAGTTAATAAAAACTTGAATGCTC